GATTCTTTGCATTGTTTTCTATGTTTCTATTTCAGTAACCTCTGCTCCCATGATTTTTATTTCTTCTTGTCTGCTGGGTTTGCGTTTCATTTGTTGTTGGTTTTCAAGTGTCTTAAGTTGCAATGTTGTCATTTGTTTGTGTTCTTATTCTTTTCGATTTTTTGAGGTAGGCACTTAGAGCTATAAACTTCCCTCGAAGGACAACTTTCAGCGTGTCCCAGAAGTTTTGCATGTTGTATTGCCCTTTTCATTTAATTCAAGGAAGACTTTTATTTCTTTCTTCTTTTGACTTTTGACCCATTCATCATTCAGGAGCGTGTTGTTTAATATCCATGTGTTCATGTGGTGACTAGGGCTTCCTCCGGTGTTGATTTTAAGCTTTATTGCATTGTGGTCCGATAGAATGAATGGAATTATTTCAATATTTTTGTATTTGTTGAGGTTTGTTTTGTGCCCCAGTATATGGTTAATTTTGGAGAAGGTTCCGTGGGGTGCTGAAGAGAAAGTATGTCCTTTGGTGTCTGGGTGGAATACTCGGTAGATGTCTGTTAGGTCCATTTGATATATGGTACTATTTAATTCAGACGTCTCTCTGTTAACTCTTTGCCCTGTTGACCTATCTAATGGAGACAGTGGGGTATTGAAGTTCCCTACTATTAATGAGTTGGGATTAATCTCAGTCTTAAAGGCCTGTAGTATTGTTTTTATGAAGTTGGGTGCACCAGAGTTTGGTAAATATTTGTTCATGATTGTAATATCTTCATGGTTTATAGTTCCTTTGATCAGAATGAAGTGACCCTTTTTATCTCTTCTGATTAGTTTTAGTTTAAAGTCTATTTTGTCAGATATTATAATTGCAATGCCTGCTTTGTTCTTAGTACCATTTGCTTGGTATATTATTTTCCATCCTTTCACCTTTTAGACAGTGCCTGTTCTTGAAAATGAGATGAGTTTCTTGCAGACAACAAAAAGATGGGTTTTGTTTCTTAATCTTTCACCTAGTCTGTGTCTTTTAAAGTTATTAATGAAAGATGTGTATTGAATCCTGCCATTTTTATTTCTGTTTACATTCTTGATATAGCTGTACTTTTCCACAGTTATATGTTCATTGAATTTCTTTCTGCAATCCCTTGGGTATAGTCATTCCTTTCTTCAGCTCTTTCTATTGCTTCTAAACTCTCCGA